TATGTTTGTAAAAATTTTCTCCTGTAGTTTATCTTTTCACTTTCTTTTTAAAATTTTATTTTATTTTTTTCAGACACATGGTCTTGCTATGTTGTCCAGGCTGGTCTCAAACTCCAGGCCTCAATCGATCCTCCTGCCTCAGCTTCTCAAAGTACCGGGATTATAGGCATGAACCACCATACCCCACCTTTTCACTTTCATTTTTTTAAAGGAAATTTTTAAATTTCCAAATACTAAGGGGGTACACATGTTTTTGTTACATGGATAGTGTGTATGATGCTTAATTTGGAGCATATAGTGTGCCCATCACCAGAATAGTGTTCACTGTACCCCAAAAGTACATTTACCCCTCACTCCCACCTTCCTCCTTTCTTAGTTTCCAATGACCTTTAACCTCTTTGTGCCTATGTGTGTCCATTGTTTAGCTCCCAATTATTAGAGAGTACATGTGGTATTTGTTTTTCCATTCTTGTGATACTTCACTTAGGATAATGGTCTCCAGTTCCATCCAAGTTCCTTCAAGAGACATTATTTCATTCCTTTTTATGGCTGGGTAGTACTCCATGGTGTATATATGTACCACATTTTCTTAATCCAATCATGAGTTGATGGGCACTTAGATTCATTACATATCTTTGCAATTTTGAATTGTGCTGCAATAAATATTCAAGGGCAGGTGTGTTTTTGGTAAAATGACTTTTTTTCCGTTGGGTAGATAACTAGTAGTAAAATTGTTGGGTCGAATGGTAAGTCTACATTTCTTTCTTTGAAAGAATCTCTATACTGTTTTCTATAGAAAATGTACTAATTTGCAGTCCCACCAACAAGTGTACAAGCTTTCCTTTCTCTCTGCAACCATGCCAGCATCTATTGTTTTTTTTTTTTTTTTTTTTGAACAAAGTCTCGCTTTGTTGCCCCAGGCTAGAGTGAGTGCCATGGCGTCAGCCTAGCGTCACAGCAACCTCAAACTCCTGGCCTCAAGCGATCCTGCGCCTCAGCCTCCCAAGTAGCTGGGACTACAGGCATGGCCACATGCCCGGCTAATTTTTTTTATATATAGTTGGCAATTAATTTCTTTTATTTATAGTAGAGACGGGGTCTCCTCTCTCAGGCTGGTTTGAACTCCGAACTCCTGACCTTGAGCCATCCGCCCCGCCTCGCCTCCCAAGAGCTAGGATTACAGGCGTGAGCACCGGCGCCCGGCCTATGTTTTTTTGACTTTTTTTTTTTTTTGAGACAGAGTCTTGCTCTGTTGCCTGGTAGAGTGCCATGGCATCAGCCTAGCTCACAGCAACCTCAAGCTTCTTGGAATTTCATTGCCCTTACAGTTGCTCTTCCTTCTACCTGATATCCTCCCATCTCTACATGGTAAAATCCTACCATTTTCCAAGACCTAGCTTTCTTTGAGTCCCACAGGAAACATGCTTGATTCCCTGTTCTCATATAGCATTTTTTAAATAAATATTTGAGGTAGCACTTACCAATTTTAAATTTACTTTTTTTTTTGAGACAGAGTCTCACTCTCTTGCCTGGGCTAGAGTGCCATGGCGTCAGCCTAGCTTACAACAACCTCAAACTCCTGGGGTCAAGCAATCCTGCTGCCTCAGCCTCCCAAGTAGCTGGGACTACAGGCATGCACCACCATGCCTGCCTCATTGTTTCTATTTTTAGTAAGAATGGGGTCTCAATCTTGCTCAGACTGGTCTCAAACTCCTGAGCTCAAGCAATCGGCCTTGGCCTCCCACAGTGCTAGGATTATAGGCATGAGCCTCCACACCAGGCCTTAAATTTACTTTTGGAAACTTTATTTTCAATAATTATAGACTCACAGGGAGTTACAAAAATAGTACAGTGAGTCTGCTTACTCTTCACCTAGCTTCCCCCAGTGGTGCTATCTTATATATAGTTGTAAACAATGTGAAAACCTGGAAGTTGACATTCACTAATCAATTTCTGTTATTTATCTTTTTACTTATGTTTTCCTTTTCCTGTGTTGTTGAATAAGGTAGCCATTGGCCATGTGTAGCTATTTAAATTTAAACATAAATTACTTAAAATTATGTACAATTAAAAATTTAGTTCCATGGTCTCACTAACCACTTATCAAGCCACATTTCACTAGTAGTGACTATATATATATATATATATATATATAGTATGTAATTTATAATATATATATTTTTTTTTTGAGACGGCGTCCACTTTGTTGCCCAGGCTAGAGTGAGTGCCGTGGCGTCAGCCTAGCTCCACAGCAACCTCAAACTCCTGAGCTCAAGCAATCCTTCTGCCTCAGCCTCCAGAGTAGCTGGGACTACAGGCATGCGCCACCATGCCCAGCTAATTTTTTCTATATTAGTTGACCAATTAATTTCTTTCTATTTATAATAGAGATAGGGTCTCACTCTTGCTCAGGCTGGTTTTGGACTCCTGACCTTGAGCAGTCGCCTGCTTCGGCTTCCCAGAGTGCTAGGATTACAGGTGTGAGCCACCTCGCCTGGTCCAGTAGTGACTATATTTAACAGTGCAGATATAGAATATTTCCATTATTGCACACAAAGTTGTTTTGGATAGCTCTGATCTAGCCTGTGTTGTTTTTGAGGGCAGACATGTCTTTTTCATCTTAATATCTGCAATTGCTAGGACAGTATGTACAATTAATCCATACTTGAATGACTGAGTCTAGTGCTGTCCTCTTGTTTTACACATGAAGAAACTTAGGCTGTGATAAACAAAATGATACCACTAGGTGTGGAGGCATGTCCTAGCTACTCAGGAAGGTGAAGTGGGAAGATTGCTTGAGCCAGGAGTTTAAGACCAGTCTAGGCAACATAGTGAGATTCTCATTTCTAAATAGATAAATAGATAGATACATACATACATAAATGATATCTAGCTATTAAGTAGCAAATCTAGAACTAGAACTCAGGTTTCCTAATTCCAAGTTCACTGGTCTTTTCATATGGGCCTTAATTTGTGAGCTCCTTAGCTTGTGTAAGTTTTAGAGTAAGAAGTATTAAAGTAATGTAATACTTCTCAAACTTTAGGGTGCATTGGAATCAACTGAGAAGCTTGTTAGAAGTGCATATTTCTGGCCGGGCACAGTGGCTCACTCCTGTAATCCTAGCACTCTGGGAGGCCAAGGTGGGCAGATAGCTTAAGGTCAGAAGTTTGAAACCAGCCTGAGCAAAAGCAAGACCCCGTCTCTACTTAAAAATGAAAGAAATTAATTAGCCAACTAAATATAGGAAAAAATAGCGGCATGGTGGCACATGCCTGTAGTCCAGTACTCTGGAGCCTGAGCAGGGGGATTGCTTGAACCCAGGAGTTTGGTTGCTGTGAGCTAGCTGATGCCCAGGGCACTCCTGCCTGGGCAACAAAGTGAGACTCTGTCTCAAAAAAAAAAAGAATGTTTATAGCAGCTTTATTTGCAGTAGCCAAAACATGGAAACAGTCTAGGTGTCCATCAACAGAAAAATGGATAAACAAACTCTGTTATAAATTCATATGCAGTTACATATTTATACTCAGCAATAAAAAGGAACAAACTACCAGATGAATTTCAAAACATGCTGAGTGAAAGCTTGACACAAAATAATTTTCAATCAATACAATTAATAAGTATATTAAGTTTATAGTGATTAGGTACTGGTTGCCTCTGCAGTAGGGGAAGGGACTGACTAGGAAGAGTCATGAAAAAGCCTTTGATGATGTTCTGTACCTTGGTGGGGTTGGGTCACACAAATGTGTGCATTTGTCAAACTCACTGAATGTTATACTTAAGATTTGTACAATTTATTATTTGTAAGTTTTACTTCAAGGAGAAAAATGTTTGAAAAGATGTGATTTTGATGCAGATGATCTGAGGACCACATTTTGGGAATCATTGAGTTTGATAGTATTTAAGCAAATATTCTTTCTGGACTATAACATTAATTCATTTATTTAATATAATATTTTGGTATTTTTTAAAACTCATGGGACTTTAAATATTTTTAAGGGTATATTTGTATTTAGTTATATAAATATTACATAAAATGTCATTTCTTTATTAGTTAATTAATAAGTAGACAAGGATTTATGAAAATATAGTTCCTTATTCCAGTACATTTTTTTTTTGGAGACAGAGTCTTACTCTATCACCCCAGCTAGAGTACAGTGGTGTCAATCTAGGCTCAATTGCAACCTAAACTCCTGGATAAGTCCTGCACTCCTGGGCGTTCAGTCTCTCAAGTAGCTGGAACTGCATCCTTTTGGTTAATCATGGGATGGAGCCAAAATCTAGGGGAGGTTTTTTTTTTTAGAGCACATGCAATGCACAGGTCTGAGGGCTGTCTTCTTATTGTTACCGCCTTCACGGAAAGTTCCTGAGTAAGTTTTAGTCACTCTTACAAGAGAGAAATGAGAGGTGGGAAATTGAAGGAAAGATCATTTTATTTTATTTACTTATCTTTTTTATTTTTAAAATTTCAGTAAATTTTTAAATTTTTAAAATTTCAGTAGATTTAGGGGGTACAAGTTGTTTTTTGATATATGGATGAATAATTGTATAGTGGTGAAGTTGGGGCTTTTAGTATACCTGTCACATGAACAGTGTACATTGTACCTGATAGGTAATTTTTGATCCCTCACTTCCCTCCCATCCTTCTCCCTCCTGAGTCTCCAAAGTCTATTAGACAAGGCATGACCAAAATTGAAGGAAAAATAATTTTAGACTTGAAGACAGATGTAGGTGGACGACTTGGAATAACCAATAGGCTATGAGTACCTAAGGAAAGGTGAGCATGTAAAACAGAAAGGGGGCCGGAGCATGGGTAACCAACTGGAAAGTGACTTTTGAGAGCAACTGCATGTGTTTGTTTTCAAGAGGTGGGGAGAATTCAGGATCATTCTTTATGCCACTAAAAATCTGCCTATATGCTGTAGGTTGCCAGCCCTTGTCTTATGTGCTAATAATGGACATCGAGTGACTATAAACATTCTTTGCTTTTTCTTTTGTGTAGTAAGAAGAAAACATAACCTATAGACCATCTTCTGGCAGAAGATGATAGATTTGGATCAGAAACGGGAGGCGTTGGAAGCCAGGAATCAAAAGTGAAGAAACTCTGTAAGCTCTTGGGTGAGAAAGGTGATGGGGATTATTTATTTATTTTTTTATTGATTGATTGATTGACATGTCCCATGGTGATCTAACGTGAGTGCATTGCTTGTAGCCAATAGGTACCTGCACAGATGGTAGTGAGAAAATAGTATAGGAATAAGTTGCTGGAAATGGGTCTCGACCACACATTTCTCCGCAGGCTGCATCAGTCAGTACTTTCTGTCGTCCCTTTGCCTGCATTCACTTCCACTTATTTCCCAGGACACTTCCCTCTCCTTCCTAGGGCTGAAGATAACTTGAAATACCTCATTAACATCCATAGCTAATATTGATTGAGTCCTTGTTACTGCTAGGCACCATGGTGTTGTGCTGTCCCTGCATAATTTCATTCCCTTCTTAAAACAACCCAATACTATAGATATTGTTATTATGATCCATGTTGTAGATGAACCATCTGAGGTCCTGAGAGGTCATGTATCTTGCCTGAGACCTGACAGCTAGGAAATGGAAGGACCAGACTTTAAACTAATGCTTTCTGACTTCAGATTCCATACTTGTGCCTTCTTTCTCTCTCAGAGAAAAAAAAAAAAAAATGGGAAACTACCCTTATACTTTCTCCTCTATACCAGAACAGGTATTCCAACTTGGCAGACCTCATTTTGAAAGGTTGTCAATCCCTGGGATTTAAAAGCATTAAAGTTTTCATTATGAAATTTTTTAATATCAGAGACGAGAAAGAAATCACCTATAATATTGCTGAACTTACATAACTATGATTAATATATTAATGTATTTGTTTTCAGGCTTCTTCCATATAATGTACATATTTCCCAAAAGTACATATATTCTTTTGTATCCTGATTTTTTAAATATACATAGGATTTTCATGCCCAGATTTTAATGATTCTCAAATGATAACATGAGTTTTCTAGCAGTTTGAAGTTAAAGAAAGCCCAATAAATGAATGCATAAATGAATGCCTTTTTCTATGTATGGAATATTACATGTTTCGTACTTGTCACTTTTTTTTCCTGTGTTCAGAGAGTGGTGACCATTGTTCTAATTGAACTATTGTGTATCACTTCATTATCATGGACAAAGAACATACTTTTCTGGCCGGGCTTGGTGGCTCATGCCTGTAATCCTAGCACTCTGGGAGGCCGAGGCGGGAGGATCATTTGAGTTCAGGAGTTTGAGACCAGCCTGAGCAACAGTGAGACCCCGTCTCTACTAAAAATAGAAAGAAATTAATTGATCAACCAAAAATATATAGAAGAAATTAACCGGGCATGGTGGCTCATGGCTGTTGTCCCAGCTACTTGAGAGGCTGAGGCAGGATTGCTTTAGCTCGTATGTTCTACCTGTCTTTCCAGTTCTTGCTCAAATTTATATCCTCTTTAAGTTTTTCTTGATTTCCAAGTCTGCAGTGATCTTTCTTTACTCCAATCTTTTCAAGGGCTTTCTGGCTATACCTCACATTTGACATTCACCATGTTCTACATTTGCTAGTTATAATATTTTTGTCCTGCTTTCTTATACCTCTCTTTCTATCCCCAACATTTAATCCAGTGCTTTTTCAGTGTCAATTTTTTTGCATTTTGGTATTCAAATCAAATTGTTATTGATCAACTTTTCTAAGAGTCTAGAATAACTAAACTTTCTGGCGTGTCTTTCTATCTTTTTATAGGTTCCTATCACTGTAACCATGCCAGAAATGACAGAGAATGAGACTCCTACAAAAAAGCAGCACAGGTATGTATCCACAGTCCAAAATTAATGTACTTTGGGCAAATAAGAAGCAGAATTAGTTCCTATTTTGCTAAGTAGGTAGTCCTTAAGGAACTTTTATGTGGATACCTAGAAAATCATTCGTTTTCAAAAATAACATGTAAATAAATATTAAATAAATAGATTTACCGAAGGGGGTATATGGCTAAAATTTACCTCTCCTCCTCATTCTATTAGCGGTATTACAAGAAAGAATGACTATCAGTAGTTTAAATAGTATATTACCAAATCTATGCTAAATGTTTAGTTTCTAATGACATTTTTACTTGCATATAGTATTAGCTTTTGGATATCCTAAGTCCGTTTAGATTGTATTCAGTTCGAGTAGACATTTTGTGACATTCCATTCCATTAATACCAATATGCATATCACCACAATATTAACTCCTATTTTTTTATATAACATAACCTGCCTTCTGAATTCCCAGCATTTTGGATAACATTTCTGCTTAGAATTGCATGATCAATGCTTTTACTAATATTAAAATCACTATTCTCTTTCCTTATCAAATAGCTATTAGAGAATGCTGATGTATTGGGTAATTATGCATAAAAGAGAAAATCAATGTTTTTAGTACATTGGCTTTCAAGAAAATTTAAGAGTTTGTATGATCTAAGGTACACAAATAAAAAAGACAGCTCAAATGCAAATTGTCAGTGCATGGGTGCTGTTAGCTGCCACATTTTCCTCCTTAGGGATTACAAAGCTACTCTCTACTGTTGCTTTTCTCTTGTACGTACCCGCACCCACACCCACACCCACTCCCGCCCAGGTGCCAGGACAAACATCAGAAGTCACCTACTTGGCACGTCACTTTGTGAATTTATTAGCAGCTAAATTACATTTCCAAATAAAGTTTTCCCTGATTGCTTTACTTCCTAACCTATGACTTCTGTGTGTGGAAGAATAGAGAGTTACTTCCACAAATTGTGGTTTCGAAATTTACATTGTGATGTCTGCTCTTAGGCTTTTATAACATAATATGTATTAAGAAAATTTTTCTTCAGATGATTTCTTATTGATGCAATGTATACAAATTTGTAAAATGTATTTTTATGATTCTCAAAATATAAGGCCGGGCGTGGTGGCTCACGCCTGTAATCCTAGCACTTTGGGAGGCCGAGGCGGGCGGATTGCTCAAGGTCAGGAGTTCGAAACCAGCCTGAGCGAGACCCCATCTCTACCAAAAATAGAAATAAATTAATTGACCAACTAAAAATATATATACAAAAAATTAGCTGGGCATGGTGGTGCATGCCTGTAGTCCCAGCTTCTCTGGAGGCTGAGGCAGTAGGATCGCTGAGCCCCAGAGATTGAGGTTGCTGTGAGCCAGGCTGACGCCACGGCGCTCACTCTAGCCTGGGCAACAAAGTGAGACTCTGTCTCAAAAAAAAAAAATATAAAGTGATGAGGATGC